TCCCAAATTGATTGCTCTCCTTAGCCCTCTCTCGCTCCGTTCTCGATTAGCTTATTGGTGATTTAATTCAGGAATCGGTTCGCGAATTAATTGCTTTCTAGTGTAGCTTCCTCGTCGTGGTTGTGGTTTAAGAAAAGAGGAAACAGGAAATCCAGTGTGGATTCTAGAGCTTATAAGTATAGTGTACCATCAGTCACGTGAAATGCTAGCGCAAAGCCAAAGTATGGTGCAGCGAGGGTGACTTGGCGAAGTGGAACGTGCCCCTCGCACCTGAACTCAATTCAATGGTACACCGACCCGTGAACACGATGTGATGAGGCCAGAAGGTTGCGGATCGTGGCTTCCTCCTTCGACGGCGTGCACCAATAGGCGGACCAATCAGGTGTCCGTGGATGTAGCTCCAGCTGGGAAGTGGGGCGGTGGTGAGCGCTTGCCTTGAGACGTCGATTGGCTCGCTCCTGCTCTCTCTTCATGCACTTCCTTCCACCAGACCAGCATCTACGCGCTCGCCCTCTGCACCTTCCCAATAGTCTGCGAGGCAAGAGCGAATGCTGCGCTGCCTCCCGTGGGAAGGCACGGCATGCCATGTCGACGCCGAATGAGAGCGGGCATAAGTAAGCCGCTCATCCTCCGGCCTTCTTTTCCCTCTTCTTCCTCTTCTTCTTCTTCAGCAAGCGTGTCAATCTCAAGAGCTGGTCTTTGGTCGTTTTTATCCCCTTTTTGTTGTTTGTTCATCGTTCAGGCCTGGTGCCATACCCATACCACTTACTACTCACTCACTAATAATTGTCCCCATTCCGTCACCTCCAACACCAAATACAGAAAAAACCCCCAATACATACCAAATACTACTGTTCTACAAGTCGCCGGTCGACTTCACCAGAAATCTAATTACCAGCTCTTGCTTGCTCAGCACGATTTCCCCCGAAATATCACGATTTTGCGACCAACGATAATCGCGATTTTCGACCCATATACGAAACCATAAATCACTCCACGATCACGAATCAATCGACATAATGGCCGCTATCCAGCTTAACTTCACCCTCCGCACTTCCGCCAATGTCAAGACCGTACATTTGCTCGGTTCTTGGGACAACTACAATGGCCAGCTTCCGCTTTCCAAGGACTCCTCCAAGGCCGGAGGCTGGAAGGGCACCTTTCGCTTCCAAGGGCAGACACTCAAGCAGGGCCAGCGCTACTGGTACTACTACATCATTGATGGCTACCACGTCTCTCACGACCCAGCCCGCGAGTCCGTCACTGAGCCGACCACAGGCCGCAAACTGAACACTCTGGACATTCCCAACAGCAAGAGCGCCGAGACAACCACAACCCGCTCGTCAAAGGAGGCCCGTCAATCGTCACGCCATGCACGTCACTCGTCCTCGGGTGTACCCAAGGGTCGGCCACTGGACAAGTCGCAAATCATCAGTCCAAAGCCCTACAAGCCCCAAGAGTCCCTCAAAGTCCGCACCGAGCAATTCGTGCACCCAACTCTCGAGCAACTTACTGCAAAGTTCGCCCGCCAACAAGTCGCTGACGAGTCCAGCGAGGAAGAGAGCTCAGACAGCGACAACGAGTCTGATGTGCCATCTCTCAGCTCTCGCAGCTCTCGCAGCTCAGGTGGATCTTCCGTTCGTTCGGGCGCCTCTTCGCCATCTTCGGTGTCCAGCACCAGCAGCTGCTGCTCTTGCGAACGCTACGGCATTACTCGATCTGGCAATCGTGTCAAGTTGGACTGTGGCGGTGCTCGCTGCGGATACTCTGATGGTTCGGAATGTTCTTCCGAGTCGGAAGATGATCGACACTACAAGACTGGCGCTACACGGAGACATGGTATCGTCGTTCGTCAGTAGATGTCTTCTTGTTTCTATTCTGCAAGCCTTTTGACGATGATGATGACAATAATGACGGCCGATACACATCGAGCGCGGGTGCGCATCACATCACCGTACACACACACTGGATATTGCTCCAGCCATTATTCCTTCCTTGATCGAGAGCGAGTTGTTGGTTTTTCAGCAAAAAGGAAGTTTCATTGCCTGCCTACCTCCTACCTTGTCGGACCCGTGGGCATTCATCTGTTTAGCTAGTCTAGCAGCATGATATACATTGCCGCGCCGATCCTGGGGGCGACTTCTTTCGAAACCTTTCAAGTTGTCTGCGCGCTTCTTCTTATCGTCACAACAATCAGGCTCTCTTGACTGACGTTGACGATGGAAAGGCGACCCGCGGACGCCAATTTATTTGATAATACGAAACCGCACTTTGCAGAGTTCTTTGCATTGCCAGACGGTTGTTATGGAAGAAGTGGAGAAGAGATGAGGGAGAGGAACGACTGATGGGGAGGTCTGGCAGTACAGGCCCGTCAGTTGCCGGATGAGATGTCGAGGAGAGGAGAGAGAAGTGGGGGGTGGTCAGCGATGTAGCCGCGTAGTTCTGTGCTCCCTCTAGACAGAATAGTCAACTATCTCTGGCTTATATGCTGATCACTCGAACGATATCTGACTTGTCCCTTCTTCGATTGTGTGTCATTGACTTTTGCTGCCTTGCGAGCACCAAACTTCGAATTAGACTACATGAATTATACGTACCTATGTGTGTGTCAGTACCACACCCGTCGTCCATTGTAGACGATATAAATAGTACAGTACCTTACCTTAGGTATACCTTGCATCTACCGCCAATGTGCTAGCAACCCTCCCCTCGGGTAGAATACTTTTAAAATTCAATTACCTTCACAGAGAATTACACAACATTCAATGCAAAAAAGTGATTCACAAGAGACAAACTGCCATGCTGCTATATACAAATACATTTCACTCCTCCACTCCCTGACTCATGGCGCCTTGACCAACCCATTCCCTCAGGTAAGGTAACCAAACTAACCAACCAACCAATTATTTCGAAAAATTATTTCAGCAACCGAGACTCCAGTTATCAAAAGCCCATAAATGATGTTTTTGGTCTCCCTTGATGCATGCATGTATGAGCTGGCTGCCAGGTGTATATTGTTTTCGATTATGAAAATCTGCTGCTTTCTTTGGATCCATGAGAATTCTCAAGTAGGATTCGGCGCCGAAAAAGTCTGGATGATCCGATTGCTTTGATGGACTTTCTCTTTGTATGTCACATGGTCGCTCTTGGTGCAATGGTCGCTGATGATGTTCGTCTAGAAGAAGAAGGAAAGCCGCTTGTCGTTTCGATGGCGACTGGTCGACAGTCGAGTCCTGATGTCCAGATTTGATACGTGGACATCAGCTGTCAAAATCTATCGAAAATGGGCGCTGGTAGAGACTTGATGCTGCGCTGGAGTAGCCAGAATCAGGCTGCACGGGCAGACTGTGGAGATATGCTTGTATCGCTCGTGATCGGGAATGAGTCTCGCAGGCGTATCCCACCAGAACCGTTTTCTCCCTTAATACATGACCGCGCTGGCGCGTTGATGGGCAAGGGTCCACTGCATGTTTGTAGTATAGGCATTTGCAGATGCTGTATCGTTCAATGACTTGTATACACATCTTCTTGATATCCTGGTCGTAATCCTGGTAAAGCTAATACTTGATCTAGTAGAAATTTCTTTGGGTCACGGTGGTGGTGAGGCAAGATATGAGTTGGACGGTGAATGTGAACAGAGAGTATGGAATCGGTGCATATGGTGTAGGTGGCGACTTCTTATATGACCCGAGTCTGTCAAGACCAGGCTGCGCAGGTAAGCTGATGATCTGATGAAGCATCAGTACATCATGTGTATTCATGCATGATGGCTAGGCTGCAATACGTCGATACAGCGTCGCCATAGGCCCACGAGGAATTGCCAGAATTGTGTTTGCCAGCTGGGAAGATAGCTGAGGAATTGGTGCCATCTACTAATGCATGCGTTCAAGCGATTCTCCATGCAAGCGCAGCCATCATGATGACTCCGTCGGCACAATGCCGCATAGCGTGGAAGTCTCACGGTGTCCTGAGGTGAAGTGGAGTACGCTGAACAGGGGTGAGGGCGGGTTGTCTAAGGGCAAAAGCACGATATGGCTACAATTCGTGGATAGCATCAGCCGCGCCGTCCCAGCATGTTATCAGCACACGCCATGCCCGTCCGTCCCATGCCCTGAGGGCTTGAGCCTTGAGCCTTGAGCCTTGAGGTCGGCGCTGAAGGGCGGAAGAGCGGGAAGCCAAGTGAGGAGGGCGTCGACCTTCGTATGGCTCACTCGATGGCTCATAGCGGGCTGCCACAGCCTGCCAGGCTGCCATCCATCCCTGTCCTGCATCATCCACGAGAGGATCAGCCGCTCGGACATACCCTACCTCTCCTAGCGGTGATGATACGATCGCATCTTTCTGGATACGGAAGTGGACTGGCATCTGTTTTCCGGCACACCGGGAAGCATAATGAGACTTGGGTGGTGTAGTTCCTTGAGCTGACGCGAGTGCATGATGTATGGTTGGAGATGTATGTGTAAGGGAGTGCGTCGTCAGCGAGGTGTTCACGGGTCGGTGTACCATTGAATTGAGTTCAGGTGCTAGCGTATTTTAAGGTTTTTTTCGAAGTGGGGTGTACCCCACTTTGAGGTCAGTGTACCATATAAGAAGCATCTCAGCTTGAATTAATTCCTCTTTCCTTTCATCCACTACAACAATCCACCGTGGCCTCCACTCCACCAATCTCCACCACACCACACCACACCACCACCACTCCACTGAATCAATTCATCAATTGATTCATCAATTGAATTAATCTTCTTTCACATCTCTCTCCTACCTGATACACCATTCAACCGAATCCGATTCACAAATCGATTGCAAATCGATTTAGGTACTAATTGAGAATGCCTCCAACACCTGCGACGGAATGGTACGAGAAGTATGGTGGAGCAAGGAACAATGCCTCTGGGAATGGCATGCTGGGAGGCGGGATGAGTATGGGACAGGTAAGTTCAAATCCTTAATCAATTCGTGAATCGAATTCACGAATTGATTGATAGAATAA